CATCCCGCCACGCTGACCCCCAGCTGACCCGGTTCATCCCGCCACGCTGACCCCCAGCTGACCCGGTTCATCCCGCCACGCTGACCCCCAGCTGACCCGGTTCATCCCGCCACGCTGACCCCCAGCTGAAGTCCTGCTGGAAACGGTTGGAGAAGATGAAAGATCAGTAGAGGAGGAGGCACATGATGCTGAGTGCGAGTGACACCTTCCAGATAGATCCGTCACTTCTTCCTGCTGAAACCAAGATCAACCTAGACCTGATCGACACACCCAGCCACAATCTGTTACCATGACAACACCGATGCAACACACAGGTCACGTGACAAACATGTATTCTTGAACTAAACGTTTAGGGAGTTGATCATGTGGAGGAAACAAGTCCAGATTATTTTCATCATGGTCAGCAACCCAGAGTGCCGATGCTTCGCCAGCCGACGCCAACGTACCTGCAGGTTCTTCCTCCACACATTGACGGCAGCGAAGGCCAGCTGCATCTGCTTCCTGCGGGCGTCTTTATGACGCTTGTAGGCGATCTCGATGAAGATGAGGAAGATCCCTGCCACGATGCCGCCAGCAACCAGCATGAACACACCTGAGGACAACCAGGCTTCCTTTATACCTGAGGGAGGAGGATGAGGAAGAGGAGGGCAAAGCTTGCTTCCTACCTGCCATGTTCTCGAAGGTTAGGGTGGCAGGCGCGTTGCTCCTGGAGTCACACTCCTGGTATCGGACCCAGGTCTTGTCCAGGTCTTCCATGAAGCCGTTCTCATGAGAGCTGTAGAGAAAGGGGGCAGGGCATCGGTGGGCGGGGCTTAACACATGGGGCTGGACTCTGCTGTGGCGTTCGGTACCTGAGGATGGCCAAAGACACGTTCTGCTTCCAAGGACTGTCTTTCCTCATGCCGATCCCAAAACCAGAGCGGAAGAAAAGCTCCCCCGTCGTCACCAGGTCGCACTTTTGTGACGCCTCGAACTCCAGCACGGCGCTGTCCCAGATGAAGGCGTGCAGCTTGCTGAGGGGGAGGAGCACAAACATCAGACGCAGACAGCGGAGGGAGACGGTGGCGCTGCAGCAGAGGATGGCGCCTACTTGTCTCGGACGGCCTGGATGGCCTCAGCGGCACTCTCGTAGTTGTGTTTCTCCATGTGCCGGTACATGGTGCTCAGCTCCACCTGCCGTCTGAAGTAGATATCCACCGAGCTCTGCTTCACTGTGGCGTAGATGAACTTATCTGATGGGTTACGCAGCTGGAAGCAGCAGAACAGCTGTTACTTTAAGATCCTGGGTCAGAGCAGGCCTCGGATTGAGCGGCGCCTCTCACCCTGGGGTCATTGATGCCAGTGATGCGCTCCTCAGGCCGGTCCAGCACAAGGAAGGCTGCCAGGTTGGCGGTGTATGATGCTACGATGATCATGGCGAATCCGGCCCACACCATCCCCAGGATCCGGGCGGAGAAGCTCCTGGGAGCTCCTACAGAGGAAGGAACGGAGACGGCATGAGGCGCTGCCGCCTGGGGGCGGGGTGGCGGGGGGGTGTGGGGTTGAATAAACCACTCTGTACCTTCTCCGATCCCAGAGTTCAGCAGAACTCCCCACGAGAACCACATGGCGGAGGAAAGGGTGAGGGCGTCTTCTTCTTCTTCTTCACTGTTAACTTTGAACCTTCCAAACGGGCTGAAAACACAAAGCAACGCCACACTGCCTCACTGAGTCTGGACCAATCAGGTCGGGCTTTAATTGGGACCAGGGGACGCACTGAGACTGGTTCAGAGGGCTGTTAGATCCCAGCCAATCAGATTACAGCATCAGAGCCAATCAGATTACAGCATCAGAGCCAATCA